ATCCATATGATTCCTTAAATGGGACTAAAAGTGAGTAATTAAGTTTTAATGTCAGTTCTTATCACATTAACTTTCTCCCAACTGCCACAGCAAAGTCAATTATTCTCTATTTAAAAATAAAATGTTACATTTCTCTCAGTTTTTAAATTAAAAAGAAATAATTTATTTTAGTAAATTAATTAATGAGAAAATAAATCAAGGAAATATTGTAAAGCAGTAAGCCTGACTTAAGCTAAAGAAAAATGTTGTATTTAGAATTTTGCGAGAGAGCGTAAAAAATATTTTTTATTGATTTCAAAACTATTTTGCCGTCATGGAATTTCCAGGTTCAGAAAAGAGTTAAAACCTCTATTAAAGGAATTCTGCTGTTGTCATGATTTTCCCAGTTTAGCAACCAGCAGTTGGTTGCCTTGACTCTTCAACATTTTCGGCGGCATACCTATGTGACTCATTCTGGTGGCCTGAAGGTTATAGCCTACAGCAGTGACACTTGAAGATAAATTAACCTACGGGAAATCTAAACTTCACATATAAGATACAGGGTGAGTTTTTCACAATTTGTTTGGAAAAAATATAATATCAGGTTCTATATGGTTTTTGGATGTAATTCTATTGGTTTGGAAAAATTCTAATATCAAGTGGATGTAATTCTATATGGTCTGTGGGGTGGATGTAATTGGCCAAACTTTGCAGGCATTTAGGTTAGAACACTGAGATGTCTGAGGTAAGTTTTAACTTGATCATGATCTTATATTCTAAATGCATTCCTGTTTTATTTTTTGGGGGAAGGGATAGATCAAAGTTGAATCTAAGATTACTATAAGTCTGCCATTCACTCATGCTTAGAATATTGTGGCTAGATATGGTTCGGTGCCTGTGCTATTTACCTTAAGTTCTTTGATAAGATCCAAAAAAGAATCAGCAATATTATTGGTCCTGATCTGACAGATAGGCTTCACTCACTTCCCCATTGATGTAAGGTTGCCTCTCTGTGCCTTTTCTATAAATACTTTCATGACACTTGTTCAGATGAACTCTTCACTATAGTATCCAGATTTTTTTAATTTAAGCGCAGTACTTGACTGGCATTAAGATTTCATCAATTTAAAATTGAGCTGGCTAGATGTAATCATCAGTTCTATGCTAACAGTTTCTTTTGTTACACTTCCTGCTTGTAGAACTCCCTTCCAGCTTCATGCTTTCCAGCCAACTTTAATCTGCAAAAATTTAAATGCAATGTCAATCGCTATCTACTGTTTCCTCTTCTTGCTCATTATTAATCTTTCTTAATTCTTTCCCACCCTATAACATCTTGTGTCTTAGTGGCTTGACTGCCTTGTATGGGGTGATACTGATTATGTCCAGTTTATACTAGATTAAAAAAAGATAAACATAGGCTGTTTTAGTTTTCTTTTTAAATTACATTTGCAATTTGGTATTTTTTTTTCTTACCGGGAATGGCAACACAGTCTGATTTTTATAACTGTTTTAATGCAGAAACCATTTGTAAAAAAAACAAAAAAAAAAAGGGATTAGGAATGAATTTTCATACAGAAGAAAAGGCATTGTAATTCAATTTTGGAAATGGATTCTGATATAAAAAAGCATTGCAAATTGATATTAGTGTAGAATGAATTATAAATGGATTTTGATATAGAAAAGGTGTTGATACTGGATTTTGATATAGAAAAGATATTGAAAATGGATTCTGATATAAAAAGGTACTGAAATGGATTTTGAAATAGAAAATGGTATTGGAAATGGATTTTTGATATGGAAAAAGGTATTGATTTTGAATATAGAAATATGTATTGACATGGATTTTGATAAAGGAAAAAATATTAGATTTGTCAGAGAAAAGTGATGTAAAAGCATTTTGCTGCATAAAAAAAAAAGCACAATAAATTATTTTGCTGTGGAAATACATTGAAAATAAAGAAGAAATTGATTTTGATCAGTTAGAAATCAAGGCAAGGACATTGTGACATCACACAAAGTCCACATCACATTTTCCCCATGATCTGCAATTTCTAAATGGTATGACCATTGGACAAAATTAAGATTTCACAGAATAAATCTTGAAACAAGAAGAAATTTTCAACCAATGTCAAACTTGATATTGAAATAAGAGAACAGGAAGGGTTGGGCATGGAGCTGAGTATCTTTTTTTCTTTTATTGCTTCTGATGTCACTGCCAGATTGTTTATATCTCAGGTTTCTGATATCAATGAAGTTTCGTGACACCAGATTCAAAAAAACAATAACATTCACAGAAGAGTGCCCTTGACACTAACTTTCTAAAAGGAATTTAAACTCATTATGCTCTTGACAATTTTGTGAAAAAACAAGAAAGGATATTGTAAAGAAGTGGATCTTGATTGTAACATGATCAAGTCCTCTTTGCCAGTTAGAATGACTGGGGAGAAAAAAGAATCATTTAGATAATCTTACAGTTTATCTATTCCCAAGAAAGTGATTACAGTTGTTTCCTGTTAGAGTGACACATTCTTAGGAACCAGATAGGACAGGACTAAGTAAAAGGTTATATCAGATAACATAAATGGTTTAAGATCAGTTTCAATTTGATCACAAGACGTTAATCAATTTCAAAGTTCAAACATAGAACCACTTTTTTTGTTATCAAGGCTTAATTCCTGACCACTGACAATCCCTTTCTTCCTTATTTTCAAAGCATTCCTATAGTAAAATCTTTAGGAATACATTTATGTTATACAGCCCTATTCTATCAGTAATGCTTGCATTCATTCCTGACCACTGACAATCCCTTTCTTTTGGATTTTAAAGGCATTCCTATCGTAAAATCATTAAGAATACATTTACATTATATAATAGTCCTATTTTATCAGTAATGCTTGCATTCATTCCTGACCACTGACAATCCCTTTTTTCTACTTTTCAATGCATTTCAAAATTAACATCATTTACTAAGCTTTTATTTATTAAAATTATTTGCAATGTGTTTCTATAGTAAAATCGTTGCAAGATTGTCAACATGCTCAAAATATCCAAATGAAATGATAAAGAATTAACATTTCCAGCTTATATATAATAAATGCTAATGTCAGTGTGTCACACCTTTTCAAATTTACTCCTAGAGGCCGTAGTCCAACATATCATACCATTTTGGAATCAGACTGACTCTCTGAGAAAATTAAAGGCCAGATGCAATCCTGAAATTTTGGATTCCTAAGTTTTCATTACTGTGATTTTTTGTGACATTTTTTTTTGTGCAATAAGAATTTTTATAACTTACAAAAAAATTTTGGAATAATCAAAATTGCAAAATCCAGCAAAAGTCACCCATAAAAAAAAAAAAATTGTTTGTATGGAAAGTAAGGACCTACATACATCAAAATGCCTTTAAATTAAGTGGTGGAAGAATAATTATCAGTAAGCTTAAATATTAATGCAATACTTAAATGCAGCAATCAATTTTGAGTTCTTCTGTAGTTTATTGTTGCCTATTGCATCTACTGCTCCCTAGCTATTGTGATGAAGGCTGAATAAAGAGCCCTCTGCAGGAGCTAGTTTAAATGCTGCCCGAGTAGTTATATATTAGTCTATATTTCTGAAATGAAGTATTATGTACACTATTTACATTATTCAGACTATTGTCCTCATTTTTGTTGCCATATTTATCACAACATTTTGGCCGTTGTATGCTCCAGCCTTCTTCAGGTGGTTGGGATGTTGAACTGAACCCTTTATTTTGTTCGCTGGAGTAGACTGTTCTAGTTCCACGTGCCATGTCTAATGGATGTCAGTTTTCAGTTATCTCCTGTTAATTCCCCTCTCCAAGTTCTCCTCCACCTTAACCAGGTATTGAACTCACACTCTTTTTGTCTCCTGTCACTGGATCTAACTAACGCCTTTATCACCGAAGTTAAGCAATGTTGAGTTTAGTCAGCACTTAGATAGGTGACCAAATGGGAATACCAGGACATTGAGGACACATGGCACATTGGATAAATGTTGTGATAAATATGACAACAAAGATGAGGACAATAGTCTGAATAATGTAAATAATGTAGTTATATATTAGTTGCTATCTTCTTCGATATGTCCTTTCAGGACCTTGGTGATCATAGCTCTCCACATGGCTCTACTTTCTATAGGAGTTCTTGTAGTTTCCTTTCTATGTCTGCTGCCAACAGTGACATCTGCATATCTCAAGTTGTTAAATTTGTGGCCGTCAATAATGAATCCTGGGAGGACTTCTGATTCTTTCAGAATCGTACAAGTTGAATAAATCTGGTGAGAAGACACATCTTTTTTATTTTTGCATATTTATTGAATTCATTTTCTATCCGTATGCAGATGGTTTTTTACCAGTATATGTTCTGGGTTATTCTAATATCCTACCCAAATAAGTCAACATTACCTAGTAGCTCACACAGTTCTTTGTGACATAGCTTATCAAATGCTTTTGTATAATCTATAAAACACAGGTTTCTCTTTCTGATATCATTCTGAGCATAAATATTGCATTACTTGTTCCAGTGTCTTTAACAAACCCATACTATTCTTGTCCTTTTTCCAGTTTAATTCATCTGTGTGTTCTATATTACGATCTCAAATAGACTAAAAACTTTTTACCGAAAATGGTACCCTACCAAAATTGTTGTGTGCCAAATATGTCCAAGCATCTTTTATACTGTCACATACAGTAAATGAACCACTTTCGAAAGAAAGGAACAGATCATTCCTGATTGACTGATTTGTTTTTTTCTGACTTATCAACATTTTACTGGTTACTTAAAGCCAGAAAAACTTTTTAGATTGTAAGAATTTTTGGAGGTAATAATGATTTTTACTGATAAACTTTCTACTAATTAACCCATAGCTTAAGGGAGAAGAGATGGATTCATACCTTTCCAAAGAGTATTCGTGCGTAAGTGAATGCAATGAACCAGACTGGATTTGGAACTCGGCTCTCTGATTTCAAATGCCAAGCCATTATCCATTACACCACTTGCAAGCTTACAGCACCTGGTATTGCTAAGCGTTCACCCATCTAGGTAAAGAATGAGCTCAATGTTGCTTAACTTCAGTGATCATATGAGAACCAGCGTTTTGACATGATAGGATCTTTACACCACCCTTTACATCACATTCAAGCTTACAGCACCTGGTATTGCCAAACAATCACCCATCTAGGTACTGACTAGGCTTGACATGTCTTAACTTCAGTGATCGTATGAGAATTGGTGTTTCAATATATGGTAGTAAGCCCTCCAATACTGAGCACAATTCCTGAGTGTATCTAGGTATTGAATAGGCGTCACATGGCTTAACTTTGGTGATCGTATGAAAACCGTTATTCCAACATAAGTCCACAAGCCTACCACCTGCTCATCCAATCTTACAGCAACTGGTATTCTCAAATGATTACTCGTCTAGGTACTGGCCAGGCTTGACATTGCTTAACTTCAGTGATTGTACAAGAAGTGGTGTTTTAATGTGATATGGCTGTAAGCCCTACTACCTGCCTATCCAAGCTTGCAGCACCTGGTATTCACATTTGGTCACCTATCTAAGTGCTGACTAGACTTAACATTGCTTAACTTTGGTGATTGTACATAACTGGAGTTTCAATATGATATAGCAGTAAGTCCTATGATGCTGAGTAAAATTCCTAAGTGGTGACGTAGACACATGTCAAGGAAAGATTAAGATAAAACAGTGGTGACCACCTGTGGATCTTTGACATTTAATGTGTAGCTCATGAAAATATGTCAGCCGTGCTTTTTTTCTCATAATTCATATAAAAGATAAATAAAAAAACACACTTCAGTCTTTGGCAGAATATGGTATATAAAGTCTATTTATCAGACAACTGGTGGGTAACCGAATGACAAAGTAGAAAAATTCTATCTAAGATGTTTCGTCATCAGACTAAAATAATGTTTGTATTGATGGAATTGTATATATGCAGGGGGAGGGGCAAAAATATAAACAAAACACCAGTTATAATTAGACATCAAGAGGAATAGCAAAGATATAGGGATTTTAAACTTTTGTTGTCTGATATGTCTAGATTCAGAGCTTAGTTAACATTTTTTTTAAATTGTTTCAACCCCCAAGCAAGGTAACAATGCCACTAAGATGCAAGAGATTACTTTGAGTGAAAGAGAATGAGAAGACTTTAGAAGAAGAAATCGGAATCCCAATCCTAAACAGGAAACAAGCGATAAACCTTTAGGCCTGTTCAAAAGACCAGGGAGAATTGTGAACTGGACGATAGGCAAACCTATTTATTCCTATTGAAAGAAAAAAAGATGTAAATAAATAGTAAATAAGAGTTCACAATTTTAGGCAGAGGTGCTAGAATTATAGCATTGAAGTGAACTTTACAAGGAAACAGAAACCCAATCCTCAACAGAAAAGAAGGGATAATTCTATACTCCTGTTCAGAAGACAGGAGCGTAAACTGGGCAACAGGCAAGCCTATCTACTCCTATTGAAAAAAAAATAGCAAATAAAATTTTGGTGTGTAGACAGTGACATTAGAAGTATAGAATTAAAATAAGAGCACATGCACATATTCAGGTAAGGACAGTTAATTATGTAACCACTCCCGTTTATGAATTTTAACTACTTAAATTTTAAGACAAAAGTTGCATTGTCTCCTAAAAATGGAAAAAAAAAAAAAAAAACAAGGGAGAACTAAACTAATGTTCAGGCAATTCTATTTTATTTTTATATGTATGCAAAAATATTTAATCTGCGTCAGTTGTCAGCTTTTGCCCTTTTCTCAATAAATGCATAAAAGTAAAGCAATTCACCACAAGGAAGGTGATAAAGCCACTAAGATGCAAGAGGCTACTGGTAGTGAAAGAGAATTACAAGGCTTTAGCAGAAGGAACTGGAAACCCCATCCTAAACAGGAAACAAGGGATAAACCTCTGCTCCTGTTCAAAAGGTAGGGAAGGAGTGTGAATTGGGTGATCAGTTGAATCTATCTATTGTTAGCTAGAAAGTTATTCCTTGAGTCTAGCCTGCACCTTACTTCTTTGATAGTTTGGTGTGACATCAATTGCAAAGCCTATTCTGGCATCATCTGAGATGTGTTTTGGCGACATGACATGCATTAGGTTTGGCTTCTGCAAGTTGGAATGATAGAGAAAAATGTTTGTCATCCATTTCTACCTGAAGAAGACAAACTTAAGACATCATGTCAGCGAAACACATCATTTAAAAGCTTTTCCACTTTGTCTCACTAATCCACTTTTGTTTCAGGTACTATTATACGTCCTACATATATGAAGAATGTACAATAATACACATATACACAGATATATATGTATACACATACGTACATATATAGACATATGCACACACATATACACACACGTATATGTATAGACATATGCACACACATATACACACATATGCACACACATATATACACATATGCACACACATATATATACACACATGCACAAACACACACACAAAAACACACATATACACACACATACATAAACACACACATACATATATATACACACAAACACACACACACAGACACACACACATATATACACATACACACATGTGTGTGTGTGTGATAACAATATAGTTTTAAGGTATGCTATATTTATGGACAAAAGTGCTCAATATCAAAGATAGAATATATGTAAATATAAACGTGCACACTGACATCAGCACCAAGTGGCAACAGCCTGTTTCATGCTTGAACATAATTTTATATATATGTAGAAATGATCTAAATGAAGAGATATGATCAAATGTATATATGAGCGATTATGTACACGTACAAGTGAGCAAATAACTATTTATTTAATCAACTGTGCAAATGAAACAGTACTCAATGTAGTTAAAAAGAGCTAAAAAACATATATTAATAATTACACATATACCTACATTTACAGCATGACTCAGAGTTTCATGGCTTTACAAACTGTTCATAACTTTTTGTACCTGATGATTGGCAAAGCCATGAAACTGAGTTGTACAGTAAACATAGGTATGTGTGTAATATATATATATATATATATATATATATATATATATATACACACACACACATCTCATGTCTTGTTCTAGTTTCTGCACCTGCAGATTGTTGTACATCCCGTATGGACAGCAGTAATATTTACGAGCCAGTTGTTTGTTTGAAACAATCCCATGTCATCTTATACTTGTGGCCTGACACTGTCAAGCTAAATTATGAAGTCAACTTGATAAATAGTTGTGTTTATTAATTTTAATTCAATCTTATATACAACATTGGTATAATCTTTCTTAAATTAGTACACAAACATTTTAACCATAACCCTTTTATCAAAAAAAATCTTCAACAAGAACATTAAGGTTAGTTACAGCTGCACTAGAAACCTTGACCAACATATAGCCCAGCATAATAATGTAACCCTAAACAAATACTTAAGCAACACTAATAACAATGGTAGCTATGATGATCAAAAATGTAATTGTCGTAAAGGAACCATTTGCCCTATGAATAACAAATGTATGTATAAAGGAGTTATCTATGAGGCCAGTGTCAGGCATAATGACCAAATTAAATTTTATTTTATTTTGGGTCAACTGCAAATAATTGGAAAAGGCATTTTTATCATCACAAAATGACTCTTAACAAAAAATATGCAAATGCTACAGCACTCTCAAAGTTTTACTGAACTATCAAAACAGATAGCTACACACCTGCAGTAAATTGGGAATTTGTTGGTAAAATCAATCCATTTTCAGGCCAGGGGGACTGATGCAATCTGTGTTTACTAGAAAAAAAAAATCATCCTAAAAAAAATAATAATTTTAATCTACTTTATAAACGGAATGAGCTTATGTCTAGTTGTATGCATAGAAATATGTTTCTCTTAAAATATTGTAATCCTGGATAATTTACTTTTCATCTAAATTTAATTTTGTTTGCCTTCATTTTAGGCCATGCACCGATTAACTCCCTTTAACCATCCAAACGTCACTTACCGAGCTGTGTCTCCCGTTCAAATTTTAAACATGCTTCAATTCCTATTTTTTCTTTTTTTTTCCCTAATGACTCTTACCTGCACCCCATTTTCTGCACTTAAACCCACCCCAGTATTGCTTTTGTACTATTTTAATTTTGAACTACGAATCAATGTCATTCCCTCAAACATCTGTATATTTTTTTAAATAAACAATAAACTATACCTTGTGCCTGACGAGTTGGTTAACAAATGAAACTTAAGTCACACACCAAATGTATATATATATATATATATATATATATATATATATTATAAATTAACTGATTTTAAATATGGTTTCTTTGCTACACAGAAATAACCATGTTTCAAAAAATGAAGCTATAAACTTCAAATTTAATTATATAATTAAATTAAAAACATTAGTTCTGTTTCATCTTCAAGCAAATTTTGGAATAACTTATTTTTAAATTTACTGAGTTTTAATCACACATATAAATTCATAATTTCCTGTTTCCAAGGATACAGAGAAATCCAATCATTTAGACAGGGTTGGTAGCGTGTTCATGTCTAAATGATTGGATTGGATTGATATTTTAAATCAGTTAATTTATAATATTTATGCTCTGTAAATGCACTGTTTTGTAAAAATAAAAAATATCAATAAGAACACTGGATTATATATCTTACTGTTCTTTCTTTTTATTATAATATATATATATATATATATATATATATATATAGTCAAGGAATACTAATCACTCAAAGGTATCTTCAGGCGTGGAATCACTATTAAACTCCACTGCCTGAAGAAACCTTACTGGTAGAAACTATGGTAGCATGAATGGTTAGTATTCCTTGACTTTGATATTTAATAGCTCTGCACATTTGGTTTATTCCTTTTAACATTGTGTATTGAGCACTTTTTTATATAACCGCTTTCTGGAAAATTCTAATTGACTGGAAAAAACTGTTATAGATAAGAAAAATGAGCTTCAACTTACCCGTAATTCAATTTGTTCTTCATTTTCTTTACTTTTCAGGGCCGTATAATCCTTTTCTAGCCTGGAAAGATATAAGCAAAGGAAATGGTTGAAATAACATCAGAATGTTAATTTACGAAAATAAAAGACAATATTTTGTATGTTTCAATGGAACAAGAGAAAAATATAAAAAGTTAAAATATAAATTAAAAAAAAAAAAAAAAAAAAAAAAATGCAGCAAAGACAATCATCCAAAAATTCTTTGCTGACCCCTCCCCTGTAAAAAAAAAAAAAAAAAAAAAAAAGTACAGTAGTAAAATTCTTTCTTTTTCTGGAAACCTTTGGATTTGTTTTTAATAATTTTGCCCCAAGGAAGGTGATAATACAGTTTCATATTTCTCTTCTACCAGATGGACAGAGCGCTCTTCTAACAGACCTACTTCTTGCATAGAATATTATATAACCTTAAAAAAACCAAAGAAACATTCCATCCACACAAGCTTAAGAACAATCTCAATTTTTTTTTATTATCCTGAGGAGTGCCAGGTGACCTTGCCAGAAGCATAATTGAATATCTTTAGAATGGATAAAAATAAACACTGATAACCTATCATGAAATCTCCATCAAATTCGCCTCTTATATTAATGGATTAAACAGGGAAGTGGATTAACCTTGTCATTTGAGATAAAAATAATCTCATTGTCGAGACACAAAGGCAACATTCACTGTGTGTTTGAGGATTGGTATCAATGTTATTCAGTTATTTGTTCAGACTAATATCATGATCTTAGTCGCATTTCATTGTAGATTCAGTGACAATTGTCATTAGAAAACCTGATTGCAAATGTGGAAGATTTTATATTGATTTGATGGATTTGTTTTTTATGGCTTATCAATCCTTTGAAAATTATTTAAAGCCAGGAGATATATTTTTTGAATTTTAAGAATTTTTTTTTTTTTTTTTTGAGATAATAATGGTTTAGTGATACACGTCTTATTAATTAACCCATAGCTGGGGAGAGAAGAGGTGGACTCATGCCTTTCTCAAGAGTATTTGTGTGTAAGTTAATATAACAAAACTGACCAGAATTGGAACTCAGCTCTCTGATTAACAATTCCAAGCCATTACCCATTACACAAACCTGCACAACCAAGCTCACAGCACCTGATAGTACAGAGTATTCACTCATCTAGTATTGACCAGACTCAACGTTGCTCAACTTCGGTGGTCATTTGGAAACTGGAGTTTCAAAGTGATGTGGCTGTAAGCTTTAAGATTTTATAAGTAATAAACTGAACAGGAAACATGAGGATAGATAAAAATGTTCAGATCCTAACATAGTTATTAGCTAAAATTTTGACATTAATTTTTCACAATACAGTGATTGAATGATGGAATAATTGGCAGAAAAGTGCATTGACAAGGAAGGAGATTATGTTAAAAAAATAAATATTTGCTGTGAAAAACGAAAGCATTTCTCAGACACAATATCTACGCACACACACACACATATATATATATATATATATATATATGTATATGTATGTTGAAACTTGACTAATGCATAGAATAATAATGCAACACAAAATGTACTTAGAACAAAATGTATTGAAACAAGAAAGTGTACACAATATTTACATATAGTCTTTTGTATATTCCTGGTAAGACCGTTCCTGGAGAATGTGTTGACTGAGTCGCAGTCGGGCAGAGTCTCTAGTTGAATCTCTTGATTCTCCTCTCTTCCGGTACCAACCATATTTATATGGTCGGTACTCCACTATGCAAATTAGGTGGATCCTACCACAACAATATATATATATATATATATATATATATATATATATAAAATGAAAATCTTCGTAATCTGTATGGATAATCCCAAGGAGGGATGAAATCCTGAGAGCTCAAAGCAAATAATTTAATTTAAGAAAATCAGACCACTTTAAGGCTCCATTTGTAATAATTTATTTCACCAGAGAATTTTATTTTTCTCTGGATCTTCAGATTTCACTTTCAAAAGGTGAAACAAAAAATGAATTTAAAATTTATACATTTGACGGGCAGTATGAAGTATATATGCGTGTGGAGATATGTATTTGTATATGTATATGCATTTATACCGATGTATATCGATACATGTGTATGTAGTTATATGTGTAATTGTACATGTACATGAATGTATGTGTATGTGTTTTTACATGTGGTGTATGTATGAAAAAACAGTAAATTTTTTTACTATTACCTCCAAATCTTACTGCATCTTGATTTGAAACCTAAACTTTAATTAAGAAATATTACCCATCTAAAAATAGCTTCAAAGTAAATTCATGAATTAGACTAACTGATAAAGATTTTACCTTAACAGTCATTCACAATGTTAAAATATTACTATTAGTAAATTTTTATTTTTTTATTATTATTGTTGTTTATTAATATAGTATTCGACTTATATTTAATCCCTAATTTATTTATGGAAAAGTTGAATATTTAAATTGCTAACAAGCATTAAATTTACTTCCTTTGTGGAGATTTTTAAACATTTAAATTACTATCAAATGTTAAAATCTGTTTTTATCTAAATTGCTAAAGCTATACCACCCCTATTCTTCCTCCAAAAACCCTACGTACATCTCTTACCTCTTTACTTCCCGCCTTTTTATTTTTCCCTTTTTTCTGTTTTTCCTTTTCCCATATCATTTCCATGGAGTTGACCAATTAAATAGGTCAATGTCTGATCCTTACCCCCCCCTTCCTCAATATTAAGTATTATAATAAAAAGAAATATAAAAATAAATTTTAAAACTCTCCCTTCCCTCTCTAAACTCAATCATGTCTCTCACACCACTCTCTATGTCAACTTATATAAGCTTAAGATTGCCCGTCAAAAGTGTAAATTTTAAATTCATCCTGGCTGCCGTTTGATCTACACAGGACTTTTTATTCCTCGCTGTAGTCTTGGCTCATTTGATTGCAATCGGGTCCTCTGTTGGCAGAGATTTCTTTTTGTGAGGCACACTGCTGCCATATGTGATAGGCAACAATAAACTACAGAAGAACTCAAAATTGATCGCTGCATTTAAGTATTGCATTAATATTTAGGCTTGCCTCTTAAATGTTAATTCTTCTGCTGCCACTTAATTGAAAGACAATTTGATGTGTGTAGGTCCTTACTTTCTGTACAAATAATTATTTTTATTTCATGGGTGATTTTCACTGGTTTTCGCAATCAATTTCAATTATTCCCAAAGTTATTTCCAACTTATGAAAATGTTAATGTAAAAAAAAAAAAAAATTTCATCGCAAAAAAAAAAAAAAAAAAAAAAAATTACAGAAAACAATCTCAGAAATAAAAAATTGAGAATCCAAAATTTCTGTAACATGAGCTGTTGAAAGTTAGAGAGTTGTGCCCCTTTAATTGAAAAAGAGTGATACAGTGACACACTGACATTGGCCTGTATTAGATTAAAAATGAGCTACTGAGAATTGTGTCCCTTCAACTGAAAAAGTGTGAGGCATGGATATTGGCATTTATATTATATATATATATATATATACACACACACACACGATAAATAATCTACACATATATATATATATATATATATATATATATATATATAGATCCATATATATATATATATATATATTGACACAAGTATAAATGACCAATACTGACCAACAGGTCCAAGTATAAATAGAAAATATTCATATATCGACCCAAATATAAATAGCCAATGCATTAACTATGAAGCCAAGTTCAAATGACCAATAGAGCTTTGGAACTGGTTTGGGGTCTGGAATAGCATTGATGAATCACTTCTCATTCTTCCAACTTTGCTCAGTCAATTCCCTGTCCAATTCCAGTGCTACTCTTTTACAATTTCCTTATTACAGATCCCTCTAACATCATCAGGGTGGGACAACACTTCTTATATTATCAGATAATCCCCATTCAGCTAATTCAAATTTCAAGTGAAAATCTATATTAAATCATCTGCCTGTAATAATGCCTTGATATCTGCTTTTTCAATGAAATACCTTCTTGCCCTGTAGGCAAAAATTAAATATGGACAAACATTAATTAATCATGTCACTATGATAAAACCTCTTTTAGGATTTATATTCATAACCGTAATAGACTGAAAAATTTCTCATGGTAATCCTTTGCAAGTTATTTAATGCTAGAAAATATTTTTTAGGTTGTAAGAACTTTTTATGAAATAATGATTTAGTAATACAAGTTTTACTAATTAACCCATAGCTGGGGAAGAAGAGGGGGATTCAAACTGTTCCTAAATGGTACTTGCATGGAAGTGAATGAATGGAATTGAAGTTTGGCTTTCTCTGCTTTCTAATTTTAAGCTGTTATCCATCACACTACCTGCACATCCAAGCTTACAGTACCTGGTATTCCCAAGCAGTCACCCATCTCAGTATTGACCAGGCTTAACTTTGCTTAACTTTAGTGATTGTGTGAGAATCAGTGTTTCAACATGATAATGCTATCTGCAGGTTATTTAAAGCCAAAAAATATTTTTATATTGTAAGAATTTTTTTTGGGAGATAATATTAATAATTATTAACCCATAGCTGGGGTAAAGAGTTGGATTCATACCTTTCCCAAGGGTATTTGTGAGTAAGTGAATATAATAGATCCAAGAGGAATTGAAACTTAGCTCTCCAGTTAACAATTGTGAGCCATTATTCATTACACGACTCACATATCCAAGCTTACAGCATCTGGTATTACCAAATGGTCACCCATCTAAGTACTGACCAAATTCAGTGTTGCTTAACTTTGTCAAAAAATTATGTTGAGAAAAAAAAAAAAAACTGCCAAAAATCTCATGAAATGCAGTGGCAAAACATCTAGAAATTTAAAAGTAAATCATGTCAGGAGTCAGATACTTTCCTAAGTGGTATAATGAGCCAATGATTTTTCTAAGAACACAGACTTTGTGGTCCCCAACATTTGCACGATGAAGAAAACTACATTGAAAATACTTTTCAAACCCTCTAATAGCATAACAATTTCATCTATAATGCAAAGAAGAAAGCTTATAAAAATCTGCAAAAAAAA